CTCACCCAGCTCACCCAGCTCACCCAGCTCACCCAGCTCACCCAGCTAACCCAGCTAACCCAGCTAACCCAGCTAACCCAGTTCCTCAGCCACCCCAGCTACCCCAGCTTCTGGACTATACTGAAATGGTTGCACTCATCACCTGTGTCATAGAGCAGGAGAGACACCCAGTGGCAGGAGAACTTCGTGCTAGTTTTGGTTCTCTTACTGGTGGCCCCGACATGAGGAGTTTGAGTTGTTTGCTGTTTTTCTTGGGATATCTGTCTCCTGGTTTGCTTTTCCAAAATGACTCATTGGATAATGAAAATATTTTCCTCTTCCTTCATTAATTGGCATTTACCCCAAATGGGAAGCTAGAATAATCGGTATTCTCATTGGAACAGGAGCAGAAGCAGCTCCGTCCACAGACTCAGTAGAGCGAGCGCTCTGTACTCACCCCATATTGCACTCTGGTGTTTGGTAGAGTGTAGTGGCCCTGTTCTCAGGGACTACTGTGAATTCAGCCTAGTGCAGCTTTATGTCAGCAGAGTGCACTGCAGTCCGTGGGCACAGCAGTCCATGGGTACTGCAGTCCATGGGCACAGCAGTCCATGGGCACAGCAGTCCATGGACACAGCAGTCCGTGGGTACTGCAGTCCGTGGGCACAGCAGTCCGTGGGCACAGCAGTCCATGGGTACAGCAGTCTGTGGGCACAGCAGTCCATGGGCACAGCAGTCTGTGGGTACAGCAGCCCATGGGTACAGCAGTCCGTGGGCACAGCAGTCTGTGGGTACTGTAGTCCGTGGGCACAGCAGTCCATGGGTACTGTAGTCCATGGGTACAGCAGTCCGTGGGTACAGCAGTCTGTGAGTACTGTAGTCCGTGGGCACAGCAGTCCGTGGGCACAGCAGTCCGTGGGTACAGCAGTCCGTGGGTACAGCAGTCCGTGGGCACAGCAGTCCGTGGGCACAGCAGTCCGTGGGCACAGCAGTCCGTGGGTACAGCAGTCCGTGGGTACAGCAGTCCGTGGGCACAGTAGTCCATGGGCACAGCAGTCTGTGGGTACTGTAGTCTGTGGGCATAGCAGTCCATGGGTACAGCAGTCCATGGGTACAGCAGTCTGTGGGTACAGCAATCTATGGGTACTGTAGTCCGTGGGCACAGCAGTCCGTGGGCACAGCAGTCCATGGGTACAGCAGTCCATGGGCACAGCAGTCTGTGGGCACAGCAGTCCATGGGCACAGCAGTCTGTGGGCACAGCAGTCCGTGGATACAGCAGTCCGTGGGCACAGCAGTCCGTGGGTACTGTAGTCCGTGGTCACAGCAGTCCGTGGGTACAGCAGTCCATGGGTACAGCAGTCTGTGGGTACTGTAGTCCGTGGGCACAGCAGTCTGTGGGTACAGCAGTCCGTGGGTACTGTAGTCCGTGGGCACAGCAGTCTGTGGGTACAGCAGTCCATGGGTACAGCCAGCCACAGATGAGCAGTGTCATATGAAAATTAGTCTTCTCTAAACACTAGAGTAGAACTCCTGTTTATACAGCATTTCCATTGTGTTGGGTGTTGAAGATGACCTACAGATGATTTGGAATTGTATAGCAGGATATGCATTGAGTTTTATGCATAGATACCATGCATTTACTTAAAGGAGGTGAGCATTCATAGGTCCTGATGGCTAAGGGGTTCCTGGGACCAGTCTCTCTTGGATTGAAAAGAAAGACTAAGTTAATCCCTTAAACTCAAAACTATACAATTCCCAGGCTTCTAACTTGAAGTTCATTAGATTTTTTTTTTTTTAATTTCTCAGATGAAAACTCAAGTCCCAGTCTGCCTATGGTGAGGTCACCTGGGCACTTGAGAACAGTGGCAGAAAACACGTTGTGGTGTCTTCTGTAGTGTAGCGCCTGCTTTCTTACTGTGCCAGCCATTCTCCTTCGCTCATGGTCTCTGCTCACTCACAGCTGACAGCATCACTGCCTGTGTGACTCTGGCCTCGTCCAAGGCTGGCTCTTCCGGCTTCAACTTTCACCTAGTCCAAGGCTGGCTCTTCCACTTCAGCTTTCACAGCCCGCCTTCTATGTTCAGCATCTGAGTTCTGAGGGACAGGGTGATTCATCTAGCTGTGTTCTTGGCGACTTGGACTGGTGGCCAGTTGTTTGTTGTCATGGTTCTTTGCCACAATGAAATTCAAGGTAACAACAACATCCCAAAACTGTGACCCCCGAGTGTTAGGTTATATGAGAGTCACCTTAGGGTTTTCAAAAGCAGTGTGGCTTCATCCTCCAGTTTCTGATCCCATGGCACTGAATGGGGACCCAGGAATTTGCATCACAAGTTGACTGTTGTGCTGTTGGTTAGGGACCACTCTTGGAGAAGCATGGTCAAGGTTAAGCTACTGGTGACAGTAAGCATTGCTGGTTCTCAGGACAGGCGAGCATCCTGAACTTATCAAGGTGACTACTGAAAATTGAAACCACAGCTGGGCTTTCACACAAAACACTCGTGACTTTACAGTGAGTCTTCATCCTGCCTTTAGGGACTTTTTTTTGGCAATAAAGCTCAGTGATTGGGCAGTATGAGAAGTAGGCGGAGGGAGGAGTTGGGAGGAGAGAAGGAGAGGAAGGGGAGGGGGAGAGGCTATCGACCATGGAGGAAGATGGATGGGTCGAAAGCTGTCCTGGATAGCAACCTCTTTCAAAAAGTTAGATACTGGGTAACAATTCTAATTGTGTGGGCATCTTGTTAATTGAGCATTTCCAAATGTATACATCCATTGGATAAGCTTTAAGCGTTAAGAGTCTTCATTTTACTGGGTACCGCGAGTATAGAAGATATTATCAAGGGTTCAGCCGAGCTTTGTGGGGACAGTGTAGTGGATTGGCAGAGACAGCCGCTACACTGGCATCCCGTGGGTCTAGTTGTGGAACACCTGGCCTCTGGCCACTTCTAGTGCGGACCATGGAGGCCAGAGCTAGACAGAATCACCCTGTCGATTAGACAGCCGACCCGTGGCATGGCATTTCTAACTCTTACCCTCAGTAACTGTGTTGTTTTACCCAGGTTGTTTTAAGTGCCTTCTTATAGATAAAACTTAGACCCAAGCTTGTGTGAGCAGAGAGTGGGTGCCATTAGTAATTCCTACCTCTCTTCCTGACAAAAGCAAATGTGTTCTAGCACTGAGGTAAATGAGAAGCAGGCGGGAAAGCCCTGATGCTGCCCTGTTTTACTGAACAGCCCCTTCTTGTCTTCCAGGGCTCCATGAGTTCTTTTTTCTCCTAGTCCTCGTGTACTTTGTGACTGCGTGCATCTATGCACAGTCACTGTGGCAGGCTATGAAGAAAGGAGGGCCCATGCACACCATCTTAAAGGTTCTCAGCACTGCGCTGCTGCTGCAAGCGGCCTCAGCCTTGGCTAACTACATCCACTTCTCCAGGTAACCACCCCGTGGTCATCACACAGCTAAGTCATCCTAATTAGCCCACAGAATTACGCCTGCTTTGACTCGGAGCGTGTTTTCACGCTGCAGTGTACAGTGATGCCCTCCTCTCCCATCTCTCAGGTACTCCAGGGACGGAATAGGGGTGCCTCTCATGGGGAGTCTGGCAGAAGGTGAGGATGTTTCTGAGTATTTTTTCAAAGATAAATTTGCCATCTTGTTTTTCTTCTATAAAAAAAAAAAAACAGTCCATCAATCAAACAAAAAACCTTTATTTTCAGCCAGTGTAAGGAGATGAGCAGGAGCTCGTTACAGGGTCTCCCCAGGTGTCTGTGTTTGCTACTTAAAGCTCGTACAGGACTTCCTTCATTCCTCTATGTCTAGATGTCCTTATGTTGTCAGCTGACTGTGTTTGTGAAGTGTTTAATGAAATTAATTGGCATCACACTTAAACATTTGTGGTGAGAGAAAAATGTGCTTGATCTGACAGTCTGTGTAATTCAAGTGTAGTAACAACTCATTATGTGCATTTGCTGTCATACATACATAGGCATACATTCGTAAACTTTCCCTGTGGAGACAGCAGACATCTGTTAGCCCCCTACAGACAGAACACCAACAGCACAGGAAAACAATCCCACCCATGTCTGGGTTGGTGAAGCAGTGAGTTTAGTTAGGATAACCTGGGGTAACATGAGCAGCTTATAAGCAGCTATATCACTGAGGAAACTACCCCTACTTCCAGCAGCCGTACGCTCAGGACAGAGTGAGTAGTTGTTGGACTGTAGTGGGCGTGGGTCCTGTGGGTTGTATTATGGGTCCCATGTCTGCCACTCCCAAGGGGCCAGGGCCGTGACTCACAGAGGCAGCCAGGCGGACATCGACTCCACTGGGGTGGAGGGAGCACAGTCTGAGACCCCGTGGGGGCTGGAGCTCTTGAGTTGGGGGTCCCTGGGCCAGGAGACGGCCAGGAACCAACTGGTTCTCAGGCTCTTGGGCTCTCTGGTGCTGCTGAGAGGCTGTGGAAGGGTCGAGACAGGAGCGTACGGGCTGGATCGTCTGCAGCCAAAGTGGGGAGGGGAGGAGCTCTGGCTGGGTCTCCGTGGCTGGATCATAGAGAGGTCGTTGGCGGGAGATTAGATGGTGGCTCAGTAGTTGAAGACCTTCTCCATGCTTCCCTATGGCGGACCCCAAAGAAGAGAGACAGTCCATGGTCATAGGCTATGGTCAAGATATTTATTGTCATGGTGGAAAATGAATGAAGCTCTACCCCATATTCTCAGGGCAGGCCTGAGGTTAAATACCTGTTGCAAGGAGAAGGGTCTGAGAAGGAATGTTTAATTGGCTATGCCCTCTGGCCTTTAGGTATCTCATTAATATGGAGATCTGTCTTGAGGCTCTGTGGCGTGTAGTCACAGCCTCTACCTATAGAGTGTTGTCTTATGTGCCTGATGGCCACAGATCTCTCTGTGGGGGGGCTGTAACTATGTGAAAGGAGCCAGGGGCCCAGGAGCAAGGCCAAACTCCTGCCATCCCTGAGGGTCTCCAGGGTTCAAGGCTTACTCAACCAGGTACCCAGCTGCCTCTCACAGCCCACCACCCCACAGGTAGTGGAGCCACTCCTCACCTGCTGTGATAGGAAGTTAGTGGGCTCAACCTTGTGAAGGTCTCTGTGGGTAACCATAGCTGCTGAGAGTTTAGGGAGGCAAGGCCAGTGTCATGCCCAGAAGAGAGTGTCACAGTGTGCATGTGCAGCAGCTCTTCATGTAGACAGCAGAGCAGGAGAGCATCTGTCCAGATACATGTGACGTGTGTAGATTTTTGATGTGCAGCTCTAAAACATAAACATTACACCTCAGCTACTTTTCTCTGTGTGCAAGAATATCTTACTCTAAGGCAGTACAAGTTGAAAGTATAAACTATGTAGGTGGCAATTTATTAAACTGTGATTTAAAAATGCACTGTGATAGAAAAGTAATAGCTTTTATTGTAAGCAAACAACTTACATTTTAAGATAAATATACATAGACCCGAAGCACTTAAATATTTTTGTTTGTTTATTTGTTTCTGTGTGGTGTGCTCTACACAGCTCTACACAGTTGGATTCTTTTATAGTTGAGTTCTCCTGCAGTGCAAGTGCCAGCCACCTGGTGGCGCATGGCGCTAGTTCCTGGAGCTCTTCATTTGTCAGTAGGCTTCATATCATCGTGTCATATCAGATGTCATGGCTGCGAAATGTCATAGTTTCCTATTAACAGTCTTACAAAGTACGCCCTATTACAGCTTATCCAGCAAACTTCATCGGCACCCTCAGAAAGGATGCTGATCTTTCTACATTGCAGAAATTATATTTAAAGTTTATTTTTGTTAAAGTTGTACATAGCAATAAGAGTTTTAATGAGAAGAAAAAAATAGCTTTAAGGTTAGACATATGTATATATAGCCATGTATCTACATTTTTAAGTGATAGCATTGACCTTATTTTAGTTATTTTTATAACCAATTACAAATTTTATGCCAAGTACTTAATGTTGTAGAATTATTAAACAATAATCTTATTTAACTTCCTTAGTTTATTTTGTGGTTTAAAAAATGCCTTTCTTTTGTTTAAAATTTTTCTCATCTCAATATAAAATGTCCCAAATTCTATGAATTGTGAAACTTTATTGACTTTGATTTTCATTTTCCTTTAGTTTTTGACATTGCCTCCCAAATTCAGATGCTGTACCTGCTTCTGAGCCTGTGCATGGGCTGGACCATAGTCCGAATGAAGAAGTCTCAGAGCAGACCACTGCAGTGGGACTCCACCCCTGCGTCCACCGGCATCGCTGTGTTCATAGTTATCACACAGGTGAGCTGATGCTCAGCGTCTGCTAACAGCACACAGGTGTGTAGCTGAGGGCGGCGCCTGGGGCCCCAGGGAACTCGGAGGGATGGAGTTTAAACTACGTGTGAAATAATCTCCTTAATCTGGGTGCTCGTGTGTGTGGATAGCAAGGTTCGGAATACACTTCCTACTGGCTTTCTAGAAAATCATTCCCTACTTTTTCTGTTTTCTTAAATATTTTTTTAAAAAGATATTAGCATTTCTTAGTGTGGAGAGATAGCTTAACTGTAAAGATCACTGGCTGCTCCTCCAGAGGACCCAGGTTCAATTCCCAGCACCCACATGCTGGCTCACAGCCACCTGTAACTCCAGTTCCAGAGAATCAGACACCTTTTTCTGACCTTGGCAGGCAAAAATGTAATACACATAAAATAAATTAAAAATATACATAAAAATGTTTAACAATCATGTACATTCTCATTTCTCCAAGCACAGCTCTCCTAAAAGTTGTAATCAAGCAACTTATATTTTAAGATAAATATGCAAAGAATCCTAAAAACCTATCGATATCATTTCATGTAAGTTTAGTTCATTGTCACAAATAACCAACCGGTAGTTACAGGGAAGGAGCTGAAGCCTGTGTCAGACATAGCTACTCTCTTCAGTGACAGCAGGCAAACGATGCTGATGATAGAAGCCATCCGGAAGTACATACCCACATACATGTCCACTCATGTGTAGTGTAGTCACATTAGCATGTGTATATGGAAAACAGTGCAAATGTGGAAACCTGACTACAGGGAAATGGTAGATCTATAATCATACTTCTTTGCTGAAATACTCAAGTTAAAAGTATAGTTTAAAAAACAAATAGGTGTAATTTAATCTAAGAGAGGAATAGAGCTTTTAGTAATAGCACTATATGTGTGTCTGTTTGTGTGTATCTGTGTGTGTGTGTGTTGTCCATATTTGTGTGTGTGTTTTATTTGTATGTGTGTGTTATCTATCTTTGTGTGTGTGCCTTATCTGTGTGTGTCTGTATGTGTGTTGTGTGTGTGTCTTATCTGTATGTGTGTCTCTCTGTATGTGTATGTCAGTGTGTGTCTTGTATGTATTTGTGTGTGTATGTGTGTGTGTTTGTATACACATGTCTGTGTGTATAAGATCACAGGCACATGCTTATACACCCAGCTTTCTTATTGTGAGTTGTGGAGGTACAACTTGCTCCTTCCTGGGATTGACAGTTATTAACTGGTATTGATAGTTAATGGTTGCTGGAAGAAGGCTTGTCACTTGACTCGGTGTTGTAGCCATTGAGACGCTGTCCAAGGTCTCCTAGCCATGTAAGCTACCCTGATTAATACTTACCCTCCCCAACAGAAAAGACATAAAGGTGGGAAGGGGACTACTGGGAAGAAGGGGTTTGGTGGGGAGGGTGGGGGAGGAGAGAGTATAAAGGGGATGAAAACACTCAAAAGTATTATGTACATGTGTGAAACTGCCAAAGAACAAAAAGGAAAAGCTTTATTCAATACACGTTCTGTATGTGTTAGGTGTAAGTATGGTTACGTTCTTAAAGTCTGCCTTTCTAGTCGCTCCAGTTAACTTTATACACTTGACTGAATTTAATAGCTGTACATCTGTTGTTCTGTATGGATTCATGTCCTCTCACTTTAAGACAAGCACTTTGCCTAAGACAGAGGTATTTCCTTAACCCCAAGGATTGCAAGTTTTATGTCCCCAAAGAATGTTTCCTTTGTGGGGGTAATAAAAGTAGCCCATCTACTAAAAATACTGTGTTGATGAGAGTTAGACAGTGTGTATGTAGTGAGAGACAATGTGTTTACAGTGAGTGACTGTGTGTACAGTGAGAGTTAGACAGTGTGTGTGTAGTGAGGGTTAGGCAGTGTGTTTACAGTGAGAGTTAGTGTATGCAGTGAGAGTTAGTGTGTGCAGTGAGAATGTGTGCAGTGAGAGTTAGTATGTGCAGTGAGAGTTAGTGTGTGCAGTGAGAGACTGTGTATACAGTGAGAGTTAGACAGTGTGTATGTGGGTGAGAGTTAGACAGTGTGTATGTGGGTGAGAGTGTGTATGTGGGTGAGAGTTAGATAGTGTGTATGTGGGTGAGAGTTAGACAGTGTGTATGTGGGTGAGAGTTAGTGTGTGTGGGTGAGAGTTAGACAGTGTGTGTGTGCAGTGAGAGACAGTGTGTGTGGGTGAGGAAAGCGAGAGGCTACGGCAACCCCTGAAGGCCAAAGAACTGGATTCTTGTTGTTTTGAGATGAGATGAGCCTCATGTAGACCAGGCTGGCCTGCAATTCACAGAGATGTGCCTGCACTTTCCTAGTGCTGGGATTGAATGCATGAGCCACATGCCCAGGCAAAGAATTGGAGCTATTGAATTTTATTTACCAAAGATGTTTGAAGTGACTAAAGACTCAGTTTTGAATGCTGAGCTTACATGGGAAGCCTTAAAGCATATTTGATGGTAAAAAGATTAAGTGATTTAAGCAGTTGGTGTTTAGTAGGGACGGGGGAACATGGGCAGCAATAAATGGAACAGCATAAAGAAAACATGTTACATTTTTTACTGTCACAGTAAAAAGATGGGGTATGCAACAGTGCCTGAGGAGCTTACACCGAATATAGAAATGTGGCTTTAGGCTAACAAGATGGCTTGTCATGCAAACGTAACATCCTGAGTTCAGTACCGACATAAAGATGAAAGGAAAGAACCCACAAAGTTGTCATCTGATCTCTACGGGCATGGTGTGGCACACTCTTGCACACACACACACACACACTAACACTAATAGTAAAATAAAATGTAAATAAATGGACAAAAATGTGTTTACCTATGGAAGTTACCAGGAAAAATGAAGTTTAGCATCAACAGTTCTGACGTGGTACATTACATTAGAGACGATTCTGAGCCATTTGCAAGTGGTCTGAAATTGATCATGGTGAGGCATGCCTGGATTATCAGATCTCCAGAGGCAGAGACGAAGAGATTGCTGACATTTGAGGCCAGCTTGGTCTTCATAATGAGGCCCAGGCTATACAGGGATGTATACCAAGACTTGAAAACCAAGCAAGTTAGCCCTGAGATAGTGAGGTTGGTGTGGAATGAGGTGGGCTAGAGGAAAGTTTGAACTCTCTCCATTTTCAGTCTGTATTTCTTCTTACAGAAGATGGACTGGACCAGGATATGGTAGTGGCTGTTGGTCTTGTTTCATTGTTTCACTGTGTGTCTGTGATAGAAATCCCCTAGGATTATGAGAGTAAGGAAAAGAACTACATTGTTGCTTGTCAGCCTTTAAAGTCAGATACATGTTTGCATCCCTCAGGAATGCTATTCTAACCTATAAGGAGATACTTACCAAAGAGTTAACAGAATACTTTGTATTGTAAACAGGTTGGTTTCTCTAATTCTCACTCTCATTTCCAGAGCATCTTGCTACTCTGGGAGCAGTTTGAAGACAGTACTCAGCACAGCTCCCATTCGCACCACAGCCTAGCCGGCCTCTTGCTGATCGTCTTACGAATTTGCCTAGCGCTGTCACTGGGCTGTGGACTCTATCAGATCATCACAATGGAGAGGAGCACGCTCAAGAGAGAATTCTACATCACCTTTGCCAAAGTAGGAGCCGGGCCGGAGTGCCTTCCGATGCTCTGCTGCCCGCTTCTTCCTGTGGGAAGTGCCTAATGAGTTGCATGCTTTCTGTGTGACGAACACTATGCTAAGCCCTTGGTTCTTGATGGCCTTCATGATGTGCCTATGAAGCCATTTACAGAACCCAGTGTTTTCCATGCAGAGTTTGCTCTCCCTCGTCATGGGTTTTCCTTATCAGTAGTGACTTTTCTGCTGTGAGATTTAAAAAAAAAATGTTTGTCAGCAGCCATTAACTGTGTGAACTGTTACTCTTGGAGTTCCAGTGTTCTGTAACAAGCGTGAGGAGGTGTCCTTCCGGTTAAGAGCATGTGCAGCCCAGGGTTGGCACACGTGCTGTGTGGGCATCCGCATCGCACTGTGTCTGTACTCTGCATCCTTGTGCCTGGGAAGTCTAAGGGTGGATTGGATTCTCAAACGCCCATCTAATCGAGCGCTGTAGTCACGCAGAGTGTCTGAGCTTCTCTCTCTTCTTAGTTCTCATCACTTCCTCAGAGCCAGTGCCACCACACCTGGTGCCTCTGCTAGGAAATCAATACATGGATTCCTATCTGCATTTCCCTCTCTTCCTACGAGTGGGAACATAATGAACACTTGTCTTTCTCGCTCCTCAGTCGTGAAAGTGCCCAAGCATTATAAACTTGTTTCACATTTAATTTTGAAGAAGAGATCCTTGCCACGCTCTGGGGAACACAGAGGAAGGGGTTAGAGGGTGCACTGTAGAGCCTCCCTTCCTCCTTGCCCTCCTTGCCCATTGCTTCTCTTCTGCGATGTCCTTCAAGTACGTGACCATGGAAACCAGACTCGGATAGATGTGCTAAATTTATTTCCATATGGACATGGAAATGTGCTTTTATTTCTTTTTGCAGAAATAGTACCCATTTGTAACAGATTTACAAATGTAGTATTGTAAATACTCTAAAAATTAACAGCTTGGTTAGGGAAAAGAAGTGTAAATGTCAGAGCGAAAATAAATTTCTACATTTTATTTCAAGTTTACTCTGAGGTGCAATTCCCTAAGAGAAAGAGTATTAAGATACTATTTTATGCATATGTGTGTTTTGCCTTTGTCTGTGTGTATGTATATGTATGCATACACACACACCACGTCAGATGCCGTGGAACTAGAATTAAGAAAGTTGTGAGCTGCCTGCCATGTGGGTGCTAGGAACTAAATATGGGTCCTCTGCAGGAACAAAAATCCTCATTACCACTGATCCATCTCTCCTCTCTAGGCCCTAAGTATGTTAGTAACCTTGTTGTTTGATGTTTGAGTCAGGATCTCTGTAGCCCAGGCTACCCTCAGATTTGCAGTGTTCCTGCATTAAGGGCTGCTAGTGCTTAGAAGACTCCCATGTGTGCCACCGCGGCCTGCAGTGCTTGGGGCTTGTCTTTAATCTGGCACATCTGAGCGGCACAGTTCTTACTTTGTTTGTTCCTTCCAGGGCTGCATCCTGTGGTTCCTGTGCCAGCCAGCGCTCGCATGCCTCGCTGTCCTTTTCAATGACTACCAAAGAGATAAGGTCAGTGATGGTTGGCAGGAGAGTGGCTTTGAGTATTTAAAACACGTTTAAGTAGGAGATACCTACTTAGCCATCCAGAAGTTTCTTGAGTTCTTTAAAATTCTTTTTAAAAAATTAACATTGTTGAATACATAAATTAGAAGTTGTAAACACTGGGAAAAGAGCTTAAAAATCAGTTTATAAGCAAAATGTTAGAAATAAGTTTTTTGTTGGTCTGTCTGCTTTTGAAACAGGATCAGACTACATAGCCCTGGGCCTCAATTGTAGTACAGTTGATCCTCCTGCCTCTGCCTTTCAAGTGTTGGATTACAAGCACATGTTACCACACCCAGCCTAGAAATAACTTTTATGAGTCATAGCAATTTCAGAATCCTGTTTTATGAATTAAATTAGAGGCTGTGTAATGGATTTTTTAAAAAGAAATGATTGCAGTTGTTTACTGTATTGTAACAGCCACGATAGGCAGAGAAGTCAGTTGTTTAGCAGACTGCAGAGTAGTTGGCCGACTTTGATGGTGTTAGTGCCACCTGCCTTTAGCAGCACATGGCTGTGGCACTTCAGTGTGCTCTTCCGTTAGTAATGGCCTATAGGCGGTAAGTGGCTGTGTGGCCTACAGAAGCAGATGGGACCTGAGTGTCGTCAGTGTTAGCATAGGAGCATGCTTTGCTGCTCTTCTAATCAGCCAGATGCCTGAGTTTTCTTGTTATCCAAACTCCCGTCTGTAACGTGCACACCCGTGAGAGACAAGGTACTTTTCTGTCCTACTTTGGCATCTGGAAAGTAAGCGTCAGAGGGATTTTACCCTTGAACACTCAGTCCTGAAGGTAAGCCTCCTTTCTCTGGAATGTGTTTTACGAATTGAACCCGTGGTGAAAGGCAAAGGAGGGTAGACTGGGTGCACGACCCAGAGGTGGATTCACAGGACGTTAAGTGCACCCTTGCTGCCCTGCGTGAAGAGACACTCCCTTTGTTTTCTTTCAGGTTATTACAGTAGGTGTCATCCTTTGCCAGGCTGTGTCCATGGTCATTCTGTACAGACTTTTCCTGTCCCACAGTCTTTACTGGGAGGTCTCCTCGCTCTCCTCAGTGACACTACCACTGACCATCTCGTCTGCACACAAAGGGCGTCCTCATTTCTGATGCTTGAGCTTTGTTGAAAGAACAAATGAGTGGAGAAGTGCAGTAGGATCCAGCGCAGCGCCGTCTCGTGGGTCTCTGCTGTGCGAGCCGAGCTGTGCGAGCCCATGCCAGCAGAGAGGAACACATGCTCTGCGGTGGACGCAAACAGTGAGCTTCCAGGAAAGAGTGTTGTTTCGAGGTGACTGAAGCAGTTTCCACGTGGAAATCAATGTGAAACAAGCTGCTTAGGTTACATGTGGGCCAGGTGGCCACACGTGGGGTCCCTCATCAGTAGCAAACGCAGGCCTGATAGTCTCACAGTGTTCACTTCAGCGATGCTTGCCTGTGTGTGTCCAGCTAGCCCAGCTATGAAATCAGTGTCATGTGCTGATTTTAAAACTACTTCTTTTTATGCTTTAAAGAACATGCATTTCAAATTACAGTTTAAAGGACTTGAAAGTGAAATCACTTCAGGAAATAAATAGAAAATATGTGAACAGTTAAATGAATTACCTTTTGTTTATTCACGGGTGGAGTTATTCTGCAATTTCTTCTTGTTTTGTTGGCCTTGCCAGGTGTTGTCTTGACTGGGGAAGGATTTTGGATAATGTGTGGAAGTTCATGGATACATTACATTGGTTGGAAGAACAGAGGGTTTTAAGTCTGAGGACGTGGGTAAGGGACAAGCAGGTTTTTGTGTTTAAAAAGAAAGAATGAAAAAGTAGTATGTGGTATGGCACTGAAATTTTAATCCTGAGATAATTCATTTCTCTTACGCTGAATCCCCAATCATAATTAAGCTGTAGACACAGATTAAATTAACAGAAGCATTTCACATGAATGTTGGTTTCAGTCATCAACTACCCATGAATTCCTGCCCAAGGATACTTAATCAGGATTAAATTTTCTATGAATAATTGAAAAACAAAATACTCACTGGATTTGTTATAATCCATGTTGGCACTGGATTGTAAGTAGTTGCCATCTTGAATCCTTTGTAATAAAGCCGTGTGTGTGTGTGTGTGTGTTTTGCCCCCAAATTAAGTATGCTAGTTCTCTAAAACAGTTCTCGATTAAAGAACCACTATATAGCTGTCAGTGCTTGCTGTATGCTGGTATTTGTGAAGTTGTTTGAACCTTTTTGTTTACTTTTGACTAATTTTAAATATTTTTATCTGCTTACCATATTTTAAAGCAGGAAACGGTGCAATGACCTGGTAATTGTTTTTAATGGAAGGGTTCAGGTAACGTAGCACAATGGAGAAGATCTGTGACTTTGTCTTTAGTTTTTTTCCTTGCCTGGAGTTTCATTGAAAATGAAAATATCCTGCTTCATTTTAAGACAGAAATATGTTTGCAGTTGGCAAAATGGCAAAGTAATACAGTCCAGCCCATGATTAAAACATTTCTACAAGTTACTGTATGTTTTGTTCAAGTACACGTCAGTTAAGCAGAAACTACACAAAGAAACCCTGTCTTGAAAACTAAAACAAACAAACGAACCGAGGAGTGAAGCCTTTTCCTAAAGTCTGTGGTTTGGAAGCAGTGTGTGGGGAGTGGGAGAGCTCTGTGTCTCACAGAGAGCAGAGAACATTGAACAAGCACAGGGCATGGGCTCCACATTGCCGCCTGCAACACTTCAACAGGGGGTTTGTTTTTAATATATTCAGTTGCTAAGCATTTATATTTTACTGTTAAGAGATATTACTAAGTCAAGAAAAATAGTTGTTAATGAATGTTCAGAACTATTACATAACAGGTCCAAGGAGAAAAGAATTTCATGTCATAATAGTATCTTGTTCTCTTTTCTTTAGTCAATACTCTAAATTACATTCCATCAGACAATGCCTTGGAAGTTTTTATGCTCTTTTTGTCTGTGGATACCCCATCCTGTGAAGAAGCACTTGTTTTTGCTTTTGTATTTTGTTTTTTTAGAAAATAGGAAGATGTTTGATTTTATCGGCATGTATACTAATATAAATGCCTACTGTACATCAGACATTTTAACCTCAGTGTGACTAAACAGACCACTCCTTGAACTGAGTGGGGATAAATAAATGTTTCTCTGAAGCTCGCTTGACCTTTTTCTTATTTTAACTTTACTTTCATGAATTTTTGAACATTTTATTGGGTGGGTATGTTTTACTGTGTGTGCATGTACATGTGTGCAGGTGTCTGCTGAGGCCAGGAAAAATAGTCTCATTGCCCGGAGCTGGAGTCACAGGCAGCAGAGCCTCCCGCTGTGCTAAGATCCCAGCCCTCTAAGAGCAGCAAGCATTCTTAACAGTTGAGCCAGCCCCGCTGTATATGTTTTTAGTAAGAATGAATGAATGTCTGCAGTTAGGCTTGACTGATGATTTCATTATTGGACCTGCAATTGTGCTAAAATATGAAATGAGTGTCAATAGCTACGAAAACTTAGTCTACTTCAGTACTTAAACCTACTTCCAGCCAGCTAGGGTTAGTCAGGCTGAAGAGCTTGCTTTCAGAACCGTTCGTGATCTTAAGGAGGGCATATCTGATAGAAATAGAACACACATGTGTCTGAGGTCAACACTTGTGAGACTGGACCCTGACAAGAACAGAACATGGGCCCCTCTGACATGTTTCCCTTAGGAGACATTCTCTCTGACTGCAGTTGTCTGTCAAGCATTCTTAGACCTCATGTCTGTGCTGTCAAATCCTAGAGGGCTTTGATTTTGATTTGAGGTGATAAGATTGTTACAAGCACCAAACAGTTGGAGACTATGAAAAGAGATTCTGCCTCCTTTAAAACCAACATGGGCTCATGAACTGAAACCAAACTGATTGACTTTTCCTGTGAAGTTGGGAGAGCAGCGTGGGTGCCCTACAGCTTCCATCTTGAGGTCCTCTGAGTGTCCTCCCTGCTTCCTGCTTCCACACCTGGAGTTGGTGCACAGCATGCTCTAGAGTTCCAGGAGACCTGGAGGTATGGGAGGAACTTGGCCTGCCCCAGAAACCATTTACAGCATAGCTAAAACAGTCCCAGAAGGTAGATAGGATGGCGCACGGACAGGAACCCTGCATGATAATTGTACCGCAAGTTCAGTTTGGGGTTTGGGTTGCTTTTTATAAGTTTAGAATTATTTCAAAATAAGTTGTGTGTGTGTGTGTGTGTGTGTGTGTGTGTGTGTGTGTGTGTGTATTTAATTAGTCCCTAGTGGAATAAAGTTCAACTGTAGAACATTTCCCTGGCACGCATGAAGCTCTAGGTTCAACCCCAGTATCATACAGAGATGGCTTTCCTGTCTGACCCGACTGCGTACTCACACGGTTTTATCTAACGTTAGCCCAGTCATCTTCAGTTGCCTTTTCCTCCTCAGGCCCAGCGGCTCTGTCTTCTGTTATTTCTCCTGTCAGAGTATAAATTTTAGGAGAGTTTCTCCATTGTTGTCGCCATTGTGCCTGGAACATTCCCTCACGCACACTAGACACTCAGATGCATATTTTTGTGTGTTGTTTTTATGCTTTTGAGAGAGAATCTTGTCCTGTAACTCAGGCTGGGCTCATTGTGTACCCTAAACTGGCCTGGAAATCATGGCAGTTCTGCCTCAGCCCTGTACCTGGCTGTCAAAGACAGTTTTGAGGCTAGTGAGATGGCTCAGTAGGTGAAAGTGCTTTGACACATGAGACTGACAACCCTAAGTTTGATCCTAACCCCCCCCCCCCGAAGGTGGATCCGACAAGTTGTCCTGTGACCTCCACATGTATACCATGGCACCTGTGTCTACACACATCATATACACAAGCCCAAACAATAATAAATATATTTTGTGTGTGAGTGATGAATAAAAAATTGTGAGAAAAAAGTAGTGGCATCTCATTAACTAACACACACCGTTCACTTGGCTTCAGGAGTGTCTGTCTCATCCTTGCTCACTTACATGGAACTTGCAAGTGTAGAAAACCTTCAGTCAGGTGTGATGAGAAGATTCTTCCAGTTGTTACAGGCAGCTCCCTCTCCTGTAATCCTATGTGGACCGAACGACAGGAGTTAGGAGTAGCTGGTAGAATACAGGAAACTACAAGTAATAACACATCTCAGCAGCTCGGGGTCATTTAGAGTTTTGAAAACGTTCCCCTGCCTCCTGACACACTCAGCTTCATCCAGTGTAACACATAACATGCCCTTCCTGTAGTCAAGAACAGATTAAAGTTATAAATTGTCTTAGTAGTGGCAGACCTGGAAACACCATTTTCTTCTCTAGTAGGTCATGTATGCATTTTGCACAAAAATTGGAAAGAGCTTTAAAGGGGGTTGAGGCTTAACCTGGGAGGGCCCCTCCCTCCCTCCCTCCCTCATTTTCTGTTTATGAGTACTGCTTTACTACCTGGAATTTGTATTTCTAGAAATGGATCCGTGCGTGGACAAACATACATATGTATTAGAAGCAGGCTGTAACATGTCACATACCTTTATGTACCTAGTAACGTGCTCTGCGGCCTTGCGTAGAGTGCACTCTGCTGTATGGATCTGCTTTCACTTCTTCAACCCGTTTGTATTGGTTTAAACATTGTTGGTTTCTAGTCTTTTGCTAATATAGATGGGTCTAAGATTAAGGCTGTGGAGTCAAGGATTTGCTTTCTCCTCGCTCCTTCCAGCACCCTCCCCTCTCCCCTCACCACGTCCTAAGTCTAAGTCCTTAGAACTTTCTAAGTGATTAAATAGTGTCTGATTCATGGTGGACCCCGGTAGTCATACTAGTAAGATGACTCACCACGGGCATTGTCTCCACCAGAAAGGCCAGCCATCGGATTAGCGGGTGGAAGGTCGGGCACAGGTCGGGCACTCTTGAAAGGAGGAAAGGTTTTCATTAGCTTTGGTTTTCGGGGGTTTCTATTAGTAAATGTTGTTCTTTCGTAATTTCAGACATATCCACGGTGTACCTTGATCCCTCTGCCCTCTTCCATTTTCTTTTCACTGTAACCACCCTCTCCCCTGTTCCTCTGTTTCCCCCGTTTGTTACTTTTGATTCTGTTAGGTACCCCGTAGGTTAGTCAGTGCTGTCTATATGATCCTGGGTTTTGAAATAACCATCATTGCCCGACGGCTCACAAGTAGACACACAGTTGGATAAGTAGGTTATCACTGGAAAACTGCTGTGAGTTTGTGGTTCTTATGCCAGTGTCCTGCCTGGAAAATAATCCTTCACAGCCTCCATCTTCATCCTGCAGCTCTTAGATTCTTCCAGTCTCTTCTGCAGTGTTTCTTTGCTGAGCCTGATGTCTGTCTGTCGGTGGTTTGCCTTGTCTAGGCTCTCCCTTTATCTCAGCATCGTGTGCAGCCTTGGCTCTTGGCTTTTATCTCTGTTCACTTCAAGGAGAAAGGTCTCTCTCTGTCTCTCTCTTAATTTAATAATTTTTTTTTTTTACTTATTCACTTTACACCCCGCTCTCTGCCCCATGTGAGCCAACCCCTTCCCACAATACCTCCTCCCCCCTCCCCTTCTCCTTTGGCCCCCCTGACACTTCAAATCTCTGCCAGGCTAGGCACTTCCTCTCCCACTGAGACCAGACAAGGCAGCCCAGCTAGAAGAACATATCCCATGGACAAGCAACAGCTTTTGAGATAACCCGGGCTCTTGTTGTTCAGGACCCACATGAATGTCAAGCTGCACATCTGCTACATATGTGTGGGGAGGCCTAGGTCCAGCCCTGTATGTTCTTTGGTTGGTGGTTCAGACTCTTGAGAGCCCCCAGGATCTAGGTTAGTTGACTCTGTTGGTCTTCCTGTGGAGTTCTTATCCCCTTCGGGACTCACAGTCCTTCCTCCTATTCAAGAAGGGTCTCTCTAAGGTTTATGGTAGCCTTTGTGGCCTGTGGATGCGTAGATATTTAGGGATGTGCTTTCATGCTATGTTGGTTTGGCTTAAGCAGCAATCTTAGATGTCATCTCTCCTCCAAACCTTTCATGAAGCCAGTATTACCCTGATGAAGCCAGTATTACCCTGGTACCAGGATAAAGACAACAACAAAAATACAGACCAACTTCCTTTATGAACACAGATGCAAAAATTCTCAGTAAAGTACTTGTAAACAGAATTAAAGACCACATCATGAAGATCATTCACCATGATCAAGCTGGTTATTTTTTTCTAGACATGTGGGGATGGTTCAATGTATATATTTTTTAACTTACATTCAGTATAGTAACGTTTTAACGCAATAAGACATGAGAAGGAACTAGAAAAGGATACAAATAGGAAAGAGGAAATCATTCTTTTTGGCAGATTAGATATTCAAAACACAAGACACACACATGCACACACACACACAAACACACACACACACACACACACACACACACATGGGTCCTAGCTCTGTTAAACACTTTCAGCAACAAAGCAAGATACAAAGATACCTTGAAATAAACCTAACCAAGGATTTAAAGACCTCTATAATGAAGCTTGGATGTTGGAGAAGGAAATAAAAAGACCTCCAAAAACGGATACACTAACAAAAACAATTTTAGGGTAGAAATGTAACAATCTACATATAAACATTCATAAAATCAGTGGAATTCTTATTAAATCCCAGCAGCGCCTTTCTTCACGGAACTTTTTTTAAATCTAAAATTCTTATGGAAGTATAAAAGAACCCAGACGGCCAAAGAAATCCTTAGCAAAAAGAATAATACTGAGAGGATCACCATCTCAATTTTAAGTTCCACTGTGGAGTCACAGTGACAACAGCATGGTGTGACAGAAACAGACATGTAGGTCAGTGGGTCAGTGGGCTAGAGTACAGAACCCAGAATAAACAAATGCAGCAACAGCCACAGCTTTTTTTTTTTAAAATGAGATGCAAATAAAGCAAAGATAGCATCTTCAACAAGTGGTGGTAGGAAAACTAGATATCCATCTATAAAGGGATGGAACTGAGCCCTCATAACTCACCCTGTACAGAAACTCAATGTCAAGTTGATGGAAGGCCTTAATGACAGCCTGCGACTGAAACTGCTGGGGGAAAAGGAAGGAAGACCACTTCAAGACTGAGGCGTAAACAAGGACTTTCCCAGGAGGGAAATCCCAGTAGGACTCCAGGAGACA